TGAATCAAGTACTAAATAGCCATGTCAAACCATGGTAGTCAATTTCATGCTATAAAAATCAATTTGTTGTGTGTTAAAATAATTAAYKTTTTGTTGTTTTCAAGCTTTGGAGGGCACTCCTAACTTACTGGAAACCAACAAACCCAGAAAAGTTTTCAATAGAAAGTGGATTTCCAGGATTTATTATTTACGGTGTTGAAGACCATGACCATGTGTATGGGTTTCCTGTGTTTGAGTATCCAGGACTGCTGAAGGTCAGTAGCATTAAAAACAGTCTATTTATTGTGATTCTATAATAATTGTGTGTACATAATTATACCCACTTATTGGTGGCCATCCTCCATTAAATGGTTAAGGACTTTTTATACCATTATCCTGAAATTTGGTTCTCATAATTATTTTATGGTTACTTAGATTAAAGTTTTTACTTGCTAGATATAATAGTTCTAAAAGTATTATTGTATAAGTATTACATGCTTTGACATGTTTTTAAAGTCTTTTCATTTCAAAAGGTGTGTCATCATGGTGGAATTGAAATTTCATCACCAGAAGCAAGAGAAGAAGCCAGAAAAAATGAAAAATTTGTGGAAAGGGTGTCCAAATTTGTCACTGATCATTTTGATGGGATTGAGCCTGTTCCAAAGATAATAGAACCCTGCATTTATACGGTATTTATRCTCAGTAAGGCAATATCAAAAAGTGTTACAAGTTGGAGAGGAAGTTTAATGCCTAACTTGCTCCAATGAAGTRGTTTGACAATGTGCATACACAATTGCTAATATACTAAAGCAATCGATTTACAATAATCATGACACACTATTAAGATTGAAGTTTAAATTACTGAAGATTAACCCATTATTTTTAACAGATAACTCCTGATGATTCCTTTGTTCTTGACCATCATCCATCGCACAAGAATATTGTTATTGGGGCAGGATTCTCAGGTAATTTGTATCACATATCGTACGTGACTGTAGGAAAATTTGAGGAAATCTCTTGTTGTTTGACTGTATCTAATCAAATTTGGGAAAAACAACTCAATCGAGTTGCTGTCATGTCCTGTCAATTAAAGTATGTTAGGTCATACCTCATGTAATGTTGTAGAAAAATTGCTGCAATCCAATTTTACTCTGACTCGACAATAAAACCTTAACAAACAGAATATGGATAACTTAATGTCAACATGACCTGTTAATTGCAGAAGTAATTGGCAGCTGTTAGATAAATCAACAAAGTTCTAATGAAACCAAGGCCAACCCCTTATAAGTGGGTTAGGATGCTTGCCAATGATGTCAAGTTTGGTCAATGATGGTTGTCTGAGTCCTCTATATAGGCATGTCATTGATGCATCTCTCTCCTGGGAAACATCCCCAGGAACCAGGCGCAATTTTACCAAGGATGGGGAAATATCTATCATTATGAGACTAAGTTTTTTGTATTTTCTTTGCAGGACATGGTTTCAAGATGGCTCCTCTTGTTGGTAAAATATTATCCCAGCTTGCTTTGGGAGAAACACCATCTTATGACATGAGGCCATTTAGAATTTCAAGATTCAGCAATTTAAAGTCGAATTTGTGATGTCATTAATTCTTTAAGTAGACAATACTTAAAGTTAAATCAATGTTATTCGAGTTAAATATAATATCATTCTCCATACCTTAATGAATATAAAATATCTATTTTTATACCTCAAATAGAGTACAAACACTAAATGTGTGCAACACTTTCCACTATTTACTACAAAATAGTGTTAATTAAACAATAGAAAACAAATTTTTTTTACAAGGAATATTAGATAACAGTCCCAGAAAAAAAAAACAATCAGTTGCCGTGTTACATGTGCACGCGTTGTGATTGGTTGTCTAAAAATAAATTATCGGGACATCATTGATTATACTTGCCACCGACAATCAGATGGTAGTAAAGGTATGTATTGTTCTTGTTGATACTACTTCAGTAGACCTCACAATAGACAGGAAAAGAAAATGGACAGGCAACCCAAGTTAAGCATTTGACTAGTTGATTTAGCGATATCTAGAATGCATGTAAATATGACATTTATTTTTTGATAGAAAAAAATAATTAAAAAACATCTTTCTTCACCTTTGTCCGAACTTTTCCCCTGTTTTCGCAGACCATATTGCTTTTAAACTACTTTCGCTTCATTGATCATATAGTAAAGTATGTTTTCTATCAGATTCAGAAATGGTTGTTCCGCAAATTAAGGCCGTAAAATTCTCGTAATGCAACTTCACTTCGTTCGCCTGCATCGACTATCATGTACGCGCGTTGTGATTGGCTGTCTAAAAATAGATTATCAGGACATGATAGTGACGAGATTACTAGCGAGATGGACACTTCCTCACCCATCAAAATTTTTAAAATTAAAATTATCATCAGTTATCCTTCTAAACTTTTTGATCATTTTGAAAATTCATAAACTACGGAAATAGTTTTATATCGCGAATTACTGTTCATGAGTTTTTTTTTTCATCATGTCGCACATTTTTTTGAT